GCGAGCGTTGAGCAGAGGTTGCTAGCACTGCGCAGCGAGGCCCTTGACGTCTTCATCAATGATTTCGACGCAAGGGCAACAAAGGATATGGTCAACGATATATGTATAACCACAGTATAAATATCTTCAACTCGGATGCATGCATTTCACCGTATACCCGGCGTACCATGCGCGTACGGCTCCTCAAAAAATCACTAACATGGTCGAAGTATATTGATGTGGCACACGCGGATCGTGATCCAGTGAGTTTTAAACCCTGTGATGGATATGCTTAGTTATTATTTATTTTCCTTTTTACGACCTCTTGCGACCCTCCTTGTATTGAAATTCCCGCTCGATGCGAGAGTTGATCCCATCAATATCCCTTTCTCACGGTTCGCACTGTATCCCGCGCAGCCGTCAATGCTATGCGCGGCTCATGTTATGACTCTATCTGAGTAGAAAGCGAGTCAGAGGAGTCTGGCTCCCTTCAGTAGTATATGTGAGGAGTCCCACCTCTTGTTGGAACATCTTACATCTTACCAATTACCACTACTGTGAACCTCACCAATCTGCTTGAACCTGGATCGAGCTGTTAGCTCTCTTAACCAACGATCTACTGTAACATTGCTAAACCTTAACAGTTAACCCATCTACCTTTACTGCAGAGTTGCTAGACCCTACAGTATTTTTAGATCAACTTACCTCCGTTTGCTGTGACTTTGCTAGACTTTACAGCCCACTCTGAGTCTTTACTATTATATCGGTTGACTGATTATATAAGGGTTCCCGAACTCAAGTATATCCATCTGGGGTATTGCATTCAGTAATACCAATTCGCTCACGGTACACGCGTCATACTAATGCGTGCACAACCAGTTTCTCTTACAAACCCATTGAAGGCAGGAATTTCAGGTGGGTGTTTCCTTCTAAAACCTAACAACTGATGTGAACAATATCTCCTTGCCCAGGAACTCCCGTCTCAGTCGGGAAATACTAATATTGCAATTCAGGAATTTGGGGGACACCCTGGACTCACTCTCTTTTTTCAAAAAGCAACAGATTAATACAAAATCATGAACCCCTCTGAGTCTTCCGGGGTGGACTGACAGTGACGGAGCGAAAAACTCAGCGTGGAAATTAGAGTTCCCTTCAATTGATACAAGAGTATGGAAAAAGATTCTGCTTTTTTGTACTCCAATGGCCCGCGCTTGGATCGAACGAACACCCTCCGGCCTGCATGCAATAGCTCTGGCATTGAGAGGATGTGCGCCCAGCGCCACCGGCCTTTAGTCCCTCCTTTTCAATAAACCCCCATGAAGCGGGACTAATTGTTAGGCGCGAACCCGACGCAATGTCAACGAAGAGAGTAGTGTTGCCGCGACTCCAAAAGTCGAGTCGCGACTCGGTAAAATGACTTGGTTCCGAGTTTGACTCGACTCGACTCGACCTGAGCCACTTCAAGTCACTCGAAGTTACTCAAGTCGACTCGAGTCAGTCAAGTTGAGGGATTTTTTTGAATTGACTGGAATCACCACCACATTGGACAGAAATATCGTACCTTGATGAAATCATGCAGGAATGAGCAAGGAATGAGCAAGCAATCAATCACACCACGTTTCTGAGCGCATTTTGTGAGTCAAATGGGTCAAAACTCATAAATATGGTGTGTCAGATCTTTCCTATATTTTTGTAGATTTATTGGGCCTTCAAAACAGCATGGGATCGCAAGCCAACCCAGCTGTGACATGTGCGTGACCAGTGTCACACCTGTGACATTCGACCAAGGGGGGGAAAAAAGAAACTGCCCTAATTGCGTTTACGGATATAAATAAGCATTTTCTAAAAAACCCCTGACTCAAGTCACTCAAGTCGAGTCGACTTGCATTGACTCGGAGGTCACAGCAAGTCAATCAAACAACTTGACTTAACTCGGCTCAAGTCGACTTTCGTAAGTCGACTTGAGGAGGTTAAGTCGGAAGTCGCGGCAACACTAGAAGAGAGAGTTGAGCTTGCCGCTCAAAAACGGTGATGCTCTGCTAGTAATGCGTCACCACAGAAAGGTGTTGTCCTGCGCAGATTTCATTGCGGGTGCAACAAAGAGTATGGAAAAAGATTCAGGACCGCTACAACATGCATATGGCCCGCGCTCGGATCGAACAAGCATCCCTCCGTGTATACCAGTACCCCGCCAATAGTTGGGAGGTGCGCCCAGCGCCACAGGTCTTTGTTTTCTCCCTTCCAATGCAGGTCTATGGAGCGGAACGAGGTGCGGACTCACGGCGAACCCGACGCAACCTCAACAAGTTGAGGTTGTGGTTCAATAACGCTAATAATGCGTCGCCACACAGAGGTGTTCTCCTGCGGAAATGTTATTACAGCTACAGGAAAGAGTATGGAAAAAGATTCAAGCGATCCTACGAGTGGCCCGTACTCGAATCGAACGAGCTCCCTCCGGATCCGTGTAAACCTTCCATCCAATCATCGAATTGAGAGGAGGTGCGCCCAGCGCGACGGGTCTTTCTTACCTTTGTAACAACCCTCGTGAGGAAGCTTCATTCTGCCCCCGAAGTTGGCAGAAGTTGTAAGTGGGGAGGGAAGGGATAGGGGTGTGGGAAGATGACGTCACCTTCGGCATTTCGGCACGCTCAGCCGGATTTGAACCACGCCAGGAATAAATTCAGGTGGGTTGCAATTGGGAGCGGCCGCACCTTCTCGGCTTGACGTCGACTTCCAGACTCCAAGCGGCGGGCGGTAGCTAGCCTCCCTCCTGCCTCCGGTGAGGGCGCATTGGGAATCAGGAATCGCCATCGTCGCGCCACCGAATTCGAACTCGAACGTTCTTCCTTCCCACTTCAACCTTACTGACCCACGTTCCTCCTCTCCTCTCCCCTCCCTCCTCGTAAGTACTGAGTAGTGTCGGACGAGCGACGACAACACACCCAATTACACCGATAAAAAACTAACATTCTTGCATTCGAATAACAACTACATTTGGTTTTGCTTTTCTTCTCCGTTCCCAGTGTCCTTTCCTTTTACACCCCGCTCGCCCACAATGCACTCCACGCTCACGCCTACGCCCACAACACAGTCCCAGGGATGCTAGAACACAGTCCAAGGGAAGGGGATGAGCGCATCTAGTCGGTGGTGCCGGAGGCAACGATGGTGACGGTCTTGCTGGGGGTACCGCTCTGGCTCCCGAGCGCCTCGACCTTCTTGATGGTCTCTTGGCCCTCGACGACTTCGCCTGGGAACATGAAAATAAGGAGGGTGATTAGTTTGGGTTCGAATGACGACGAATAGAAGGGGGAGGCGGAAAGAGAAAGATGCGGAGGTATGAGATGTGATGCGAAGTGGGAGTAACGGGAACTGCGGAGAAAGAAAGGGGAAGGAAGGATAGAATAGGGGGAAGGAAGAATGGGATAACTGGAATTGCGCCACGGACGCGAAAGAGGGATAAGGTGAATCAACGCCTGCGCCGTGAAGGCAAAAGCGGTGAAGTGCGCCCAGACAACAAGCCGCGGAGGAAAGTGGGGCGAGTGTGGGGGTAACAAAGGAATGGGGCGCGGAAAAGAATAGTAACGGGGTGCGGAAAAGTGCGGAAGGCGATGCCCTTCAACAATAGCCATCGCGCCGCAGTATGAATAAGCATCGTTCTGCGTATGAATACCGACCGGGGAGTGGGAAGAGAACGCATCCGCGTTTGGAAGTGATGAGCGCCGCCATCGCACGTCCGGCGACATCCTGACAGCGATGGCGATGAACGCGATGGGATCCCATCGATCGCGGGCATCGATATGGGTACGCCGCTCATCGATGAGTGGATCGTTGCGATCGCGCGCGATACAGTACGGGGCACAGAACGACGCGCAGAACGACGCGTGGATGGGACGCATTCGACACAAGCAACAAGCGGAGGGAAAGACCAAAAACAAGAAACGCACCGAAAACGACGTGCTTGCCATCGAGCCAAGAGGTGACGACGGTGGTGATGAAGAACTGGGAGCCGTTCGTGTTGGGGCCGGCGTTGGCCATGGAGAGCAGGTAAGGCTTGGTGTGCTTCAGCTGGAAGTTCTCGTCTATACTCCACATCATTAACTTCACGCCGCCTTCAGCACCACAAGGAAGTGAACGCACCCTTGAACTTCTCGCCGTAGATGGAGACGCCGCCGGTTCCGTTGTGCCTGAATAAGAGTTAGAATAACATACTCTACGCAACTGAAGCGTGCGTACTTGGTGAAGTCGCCGCCCTGGAGCATGAAGCTGGGGATGATGCGGTGGAACTTGGAGCCGGCGTATCCGTGCTTGGAGGGCTTGCCGTCAATGTCGACACCCTGGGCAAGCTTGCGGAAGTTGTCCGTGGTCCTGGGGACGACGTCGTCAAAGAGCTTGAAGACGACCCGTTCGGGGTTTTGGCCCGCGATTTGGATATCGAACTGGATATAAACCACGTATTAGTCCAGTACTCCGCGTTGTATCCCGTGTAACGGGCAGGAAAGCGAAACGCACGTATACGTTTGACATTGTGGTGGTTTGGGAGAGAGGTGGATAGCCGATTACAAGGCGATCGATACCGCTTAAGAGGCCGGCAGTCCCCGGATCCCGAGATGTGACTAATGCGTCACCGTGACGCTTATCTGATCAGTGCACGGACCATGCATCGCCAATTTTGCTTCTCTTCCACCATGTACACCCGGCGTGGCCTCCCTTGAGCTGCCTTCTTGGATTCGGCATATCAACCCCAGCCTGGGGGCAGCTTGGGACCAATTTCAAGTTCAACCGCCGTTTCAACGTTAACGCAACCCTGACCCTTTTACTGTCGAACTCTACTTCCACGTCACCCTGCAGGCCGCCGGCGAATGCTTTACTTAACACCAACCCGCCTTCTAGTCCGTGGCACCTAACCTGAATTCCTTGCTTCTCGGCGGCAAACAAGTTCTATCGGGAATTCCGCCCTCGTGTTGGATTACTCTGGCGCCGTAACCGTGTAACGAGGTTGAATTACAGCTGGGATTCGATATGGCCCGGTCGCGGACGGTCCGCGCCTGCCCTCAATGGCACGCTACACACGTTGAGTACACGCAGGTACGCTCGTTCGAATCGAGCCCGGGTCCTGAAGGACATATTGGAAAACTGTTTTTTGATCGACGATTTTCCGAGCTCATGCGCTCGCTCACAGCGCGAGCTGCTTTTTTGACTCCACTCCACGTGGAAACTAGCCTTCGTCGTGGGTCTCTATTGCATTACTCCGGCGCCGTAACTATCTAACGAGCTTAAACCGCAACTAGATGCTGATATGGCCCGGTCGCGGACGGTTCCGCACCTGCGCTTAATACTGGGTACGCATAGTGTTGAGCTACATGCAGGTATGCTCGTTCGACTCGAGCCCGGGTCCTGAAGTACATGTACCCGTCCTTTTTGATCGACGATTTTCCAAGCTCATTCGCTCACAATGCCAGCTACTGTACTTTTTCACCGCAACGGTCCAACGAAGTTGAATGGCAACTGGGTGCTGATATGGCCCGGTCGCGGACGGTTCCGCACCTGTACTCGGTAGGCGTTCGCGTCGACAACTACATGCAGGTATGCTCGTTCGACTCGAGCCCGGCCATGTAGTTGGTGATGTACTCCTTTTTAAAACTACTAGTCCACAAACACCATGCAAATCTTTTTCGGCTCTAGTGACTCATCCTTTCTCTCAGGTTGTCTGAACTCGCACTCACGGTCACGCCACACGCGTATATTATTTCGGTTCAATGCGCCATTCTGAGGGTGGGTGAGTGGTCTATCGCTATTTATCCCGAGGCTACTAACCTATCAGGGCTGCTAGATGGTTTTACAGATGCCCTGTTGCGGATGGTCCGCACCTGCACTCGGTGGGTGTGAATGGAACCGCTAAACCCAGGGGATGCTCGTTCGAATCGAGTCCAGGGCATAGCAGCTTCAAGACTTTTGTTTTGTTTTTGTTTTTTACTCATATGCGCCCGTTCATACGCCATCGCTTTTTACAGGACAACATACATCCTCATTCGCCGCGAGACCCGAACACCCATCGCAGCGGGTGAGTGATTTCCGATTTTCAGTGTGGTCTCATCGCATTCCCAGCTACCTAGATATGGTCTGGTCGCGGAGGGTGCGCACCCGCGATAAATACGTCGAGCGGTTCCTTACTTGCGGGGGTGCTCGTTCGACTCGAGCCTGGGCCATTCGTATGAACTAAGTTAGAACATCCTTTTTCAGGTTTCGGTCAGTGCCTTCGTCGGGTTGTTCGGTCGTAAAGGCGATTGATTTCCATACCTGTTCAACGGTTCGCCATTCTGAGGGTGAGTGGTCTATTGACCAATTTATTCCGAGGCCACTACTACTAACCTATCAGGGCTCCTAGATGGTTTTACCTATGCCCTGTTGCGGATTGTCCGCACTTGCACTCAATGTAATCACATAGAATTTTGATTCCCTGCAGGACCGCTCATTCGAATCGAGCGCAGGGCATGCGTGGTGTTTATTGTCACTTTTTTTTTTTCCCCCCACTTATATGCACCCGTTCACACGCCCACTGTTTATTTGCCGGGGACAGCCCGCCTGACTGGATTTCGGACTGAAGTTCACAAATCCATGTTTAGATGATGTCCTTCCGAATTGGTGAGTGATTCTCCGGTTTGGAGCGTGGTCTCACTGCATCTCTCCTTGGACGAACATGGCCTGGCGGCGGACGGTCCGCACCCGCAATATGTGCCCGTGCAACTATGTGCTGATTTGCGGGGGGTGCACGTTCGATTCCAGCCTGGGTCCTGAATCGCTCTTTGTGATCCTTTTGATTAATCATTTTCCAGGTTCAATTCGTTCGCAGATCTAGAGCCAGCTGCTGTTTCAACGCCACGCCAACGAATTCCTCTAAAGTGCCGGTGCCGTAACCATCTCCTAAGGTTCAACCGGAACTGAATGCTGATATGGTCCGCAGACCTGCGTTCAATATGATCTGAGATTGAAGTTACACCCCGGGATGCTCGTTCGACTTGGGCCTGGGCCATCCAGCGGGATTTCGCGTACCTTTTTCTTTTTCGGCTCTGGGGACGTATCCCGTTTCCCTCAGTTTGTCTGAACTCCGCACTCACGGCCACGCCGCGCGAATATTATTTCGGTTTCGCAATTCTGCGGGTGAGTAGTCTATTCATCGATACCAATTTTAAATTCATTCCAAGGCTACTAGCCTATCAGGACTCCAAGATGGTTTTCTAGATGCCCTGTTGCGGAGGGTCCGCACCTGCACTCGGTGGGCCCCTACGAATTCCGATTCCCTGCAGGACCGCTCGTTCGAATCGAGCGCAGGGCATAGCGCGGCCTTTAACTTTTTTGTTTTGTTTCTCACTCATATGCACCCATTCATACGTCATCGCCAACTTTTTACAGAGCAACATACCTTCTCATTCGCCGCGAGACAGAAGCACCCATCGCAGGCTGTGAGTGATTTCCGATTTTGAGCGTGGTCTCATCCCATTAATATTCTCAGCTAAATATGGCGTGGTCGCGGAGGGTCCGCACCCGTAATAAATACGTCGAGCGGTTACTTAGTTGCGGGGGTGCTCGTTCGACTCACACTGACAAATCAGAACTTTCAGCCCAGCCATCAGTGGCCGAGAACGTTCCCGAAAGCAAGAGTTTCGGCGGGGCTGAAACTCGTAAAATTCCCATATTTGGCAGGTGATCGTAATCACTTGCCTTATATAGCAATTCTGCGAGTTTCAGCCCGGCCGAAACTATCGCTTTCGGGGACGTTTTCAGCCGCTGATGGCTGGGCTGAAAGTTCTGATTTGTCGGTGTGACTCGAGCCTGGGTCATGGGAACGGTATGGAACATTCCTTTTTCAAGTTTCGGTCAGTACCTAATACCGGGTTGTTCGGTGGCAGAGGCAACTGATTTCCTGATCTGTTCAAGAAGTTCTTCTTCGGCTCAGGGAACTCATCCGATTTCCCTCAGTTTGTCCACGTGAATACTATTTCGATTGCGAATCGCCATTCTGCGGGTGAGTGGTGTATTCATCGATCATGATACCAATTATCCCGAGGCTACTAACCCATCAGGGCACCTAGATGGTTTTACAGATGCCCTGTTGCGGATGGCCCGAACCTGCACTCGGTAGGTCGTGAATAGAATCGTTACACGCAGGGGATGCTCGTTCGAATCGAGCCCAGGGCATGTCGCGGCCTTCGACGTTTTTTTAATTGGTATATGGACCCATTCACACACCCACTGTTACTTGCGCGGGGACGTCCCTCTCAGACTGGAGTAACGGGTTCACAAATCCATGTTCAAATTATGTCCTCCGATGCAGGTGAGTGATTTACAAGTTCAGGGTGTTGAGTGTGGTCTCACTCCATCTCTCCTTGGAACATGGCCTGGTGGCGGACGGTCCGCACCCGCAATATGTGCCCGTGAACTATGTACTGATTTGCGGGGGGTGCTCGTTCGATTCGAGCGGCATCGAGCCCGGGTCCTGAATCGGTCGTTGCGGTCCCTTTGATTGACGTTTATTCGTCCGCAGAGCCAGCTGTTTTTTCAACTCCACGCCAACGTATTCCTCTGAAGTGCCGGCGCCGTAACCATCTCATAAGGTTCAACCGTAACTGAATGCTGATATGGCCCGGTTGCGGAGGGCTCAGTCTAATGCAATTCCGATTCCCTGCAGGACCGCTTGTTCGAATCGAGTCCAGGGCATCGCACAGCGTCGGACGGGGTTTTTTTTAATGTTTTCTAGAGACATGTGCACCATTCATACGCGATCACCGATTCTTTTACAGGGCAATATGCCTCCTCATTCGCCGCGAGACCCAAATACCCAAACACCCAATTGTTGACTGGACACAGCAAAGTGGCATAAAGAGCCAGAACCTCGGAGTTAGGTTACTTTCCGTTGACAGCAGGTAGGTAAAAATCTCATGCTCATCAGTCCAGTCCTCAGTCCGGCCAGGGCCATAAATCTGTGAGCTAGGAACCTAGCGTGTGACGTCGTTTGTCATGGGTAGAATAAACTATCCCATGTGCAGTGTGCGTTCTTTCAGCATGCTTTTTGGTGTTATATTATGTTTGATCTTCCCGCAAGTGTGAATAAATAAATATATAGATTTTCCAGACTGACGTAGCCTCACATAAATATGACAAAGAAAGGAAGGGGTTTTAACAATAATTGTTCATAGATCACACTGCAACCAACGAGGCCTATTCATTCTCCCACTCATCCTCTGATAAACTGTTGTCCACCTCTTGTACTGTGCCTGAGAGAGCATTTAGCTCAGCAAGTCGATCCAGGTTCGTTTTGTGCTGCTCCTTGATATCCTCACCAATCCCAGCCAGTCTCCCATCAATATGCTGAACCCGCTTGGCCTGTGAGGAGCGCTCAAACAGCGGCCTTGCTTGTTCCCATAGCTTCAGTGCATTCAGCAAATCACCATGCTTGTTGGATATGTCCCCAAGTCGGGTCATGCACTCTGCTCTGCTCTGGTGAACATCCATCTTGGTGAATCCTCGCAAGGCAAGAGTGAACAGAGATGTGGCTGTGAATTCATCCTCCTCAGAGAGGAAAACATCGCCAAGGAACTGCAAAGTTTTGTAAATTCCCAGCCTCTCTTTCACCTTGAGTGAATGCGCAAGATAAACAGTGGGCCAAGAGGTCGGATGAGAGCCCTCCCAGCAATTGATATCTGCAAGCCTCTCCAGGCAGAAACTCACTGCCTCTGAGTGCTTCCCCCACCCAACTTGGAGGCATTTACAAAATTGTGTACTTGACAGACACCCATCTCTTAGATGGAGGTCCGCCTGGATAATATCGTATTGAAGAGTTAACGATGTAGATCCACTTGCTTTGGCAATAGATTGTGATACATCAATCTTACTTTGGATTTCATTGGTTGAAACCCCAGTTAAGATGTTAATTTCCGCAATATTGATGAGGGAAAATGCTTGCAGATAATTGTCATCAGTTGTTGCTTGGAGAATTTGATTCCGGATGTCATGTGCCTCAACATATTCTGATTTGAGTTTGTGAACTTCAGCCTGAATTCCCATCAACCCATGGTTCATTTGCCCATGAGACAGACCACATAGACTCAGAGCTGTT